AGAGATCGCGCGCATGAGCCTGGCCCTGCTCAGCGCCATCCAGAAGTTTCGCATCCGGCATCGACCGGAAGACAGCCTCAAGCTCCGCATCGGAATACACTCCGGTAGGTGGCGTCGTCGTCGTTGCCGTCCGTGTTCCGTCTCTCTCCTTTGTCCTTCCCGTTCCTATTTAGTCCGTTGTTATTTAGGTCATAGAAAAAGGGGGTATAAAATGGCCTTGGTGCGCTTAGGAAAGTACATGATTAATGTAAACACGCGTGCGTTTTTAGTTTTTGCATTAACACAAACATTGCAAAATATCCCAAATGACTACAATCATATTTGTAAATGTTTTTGTAAACAGAAACGCACCTGTGAATTGAAGTACGATGTTAGTGAAGAGAAATATAGATCATAGACCTAGACTAGATCTATCGTAACTATGTTATATATAGGCAACTTATCACCCCTCTTATCTACCTCAATATGGCGGCGGGGACTTTCCGATATAAAATATTATGAGACTTTTCCTCGCGGCATACCGTCGACCGAGGGACATGCACGTGCCGTGAGTCGAGTCGTCTCTGACTAGCGTAACGGTTGCGGTTGCGGTTGCGGTTGCGGATGTTTATTTATCTTTCCTCTCGCTGGACGTGGTGTTAGACGAACTATCGTCTGGCAACAGCGAGCCGACCGAGTCTATGTGGAAGTATGCGCCAACGATTTTTTGTCCACAATGAAGTTCAACATGTCAACAACCGTTACAAAATCGCGACGATATACAATTTCGATGATCGCCTCTCTCTCTCTCTCTCTCTCTCTCTCTTCCTGTCTCTCTCTCTCTCTCTCCCTGTCTTTCTCTTTCTCTCTCACGCTCTTTCTTTCACCGGAATGTTATTCTTTCTTTCCTCTTTCTTCTCGTTTCCTCTTCATTCTTCACCGTTTTTAAAGTACCAAGTTTGAAACGTGTAATACTTTCTCCGGCGATAATAGCAATCCAATGGAAACGCGATATAATCAATATAAGTTAGTTTATTAATTGGTTCCCAGAGCGAGGCGTCGTCGTGTGGACGTCGTTTCGTCGTGCGCGGGGGAGGGTTGCAGAGGAATA